CCTGTGTGAATAATAATGAGGTGAACGTGTTTTTAAATACATTCTTCTTCTCATCACCATGGTTTCCGGGGTGTTCAACATGTGCATGTACAAGAAGGTTCATGCTAGTGCAATGATGATTTGCAGTAGATCTACATGATGATTGTACACGCACATGAAAAGTTACTGAATGACACCATATGTTATGCAATATGCGATCACGCATGCACCGGCAGTGCTGTTGCATGTAGTGCTGGTCGATTCACATCCAGCATTCAGGATCTAAGCCACCGCAGGGCGGTTTTTTGTATGCGTTTTTAAAGAGTGCGGCTAGCATGCCGGAGAATATGGTATTCCTGTTATGATGTGTGTGTGTGTGTGTGTCTCTCTCTCTCTCTCTCTCTCTCTCTCTCTCTCTCTCTCTCTCTCTCTCTCTCTCTCTCTCTCTCTCTCTCTCTCTCTCTCTCTCTCTCTCTCTCTCTCTCTCTCTCTCTCTCTGTCTCCCTCTCTCTCTGTCTCCCTCTCTGTCTCCCTCTCTGTCTCCTCTCTCTCTCTCTCTCTCTCTCTCTCTCTCTCTCTCTCTCTCTCTCCCCCTATTTAAGCCGAAAAAGCGCGGATGGACCAGTTGGGAGCAAAGTATCACGGGAGAAAAGGCCCAAACAACACGCGATGCAATTACGTTGGTAAGTCAGAGTACTACTTGTAGCTGCTATCTATCCAGTGTAAAGACTCAAAGAGGTTATTCTCTTCTCATACTTGTGCGGTGGTTACTTGCAATGTTCAAGCTGGGTTTTTTTTAATGCTGACTTGACTTTAAAATAACGTGCCTGACTTAGGACTCGCATCCAAGCCGGACGTTAACCTGCAAGAAAGCACAATTCTCTGCTCAATGCACAGCCTCAAGTTCGAGGATCTCCCCCCCCCCCCCCCTCCCTCAGTTGAGCATGAGCAGGCTGAGGAAATTGATAGGAGCGGTGCTTTCTTTCTTTCTTTCATTCATTCATTCATTCATTCTTTCCTTCTTTTTTTCTTTCATTCATTCTTTCATTCTTTCATTCTTTCTTTCATTCATTCATTCATTCATTCTTTCCTTCTTTCTTTCTTTTTCTTATTATTATTTTTTCGTCAACCACCACACCATAACAGCGCTATCCAGCTGACCTGGACACGTTGCCACAGCACACCACCAGCAAGCGACACATCCGTTGGTACTGAATTCCTTCATACAGCTGTTTCGAGTATAAAACCCTCGTCCGTGAAGTTAGATATTGTAGAATAGCTAAGATCATCACCTTTTTTTTTGTACCGAAGGGGTAAGCATACAGGCTGCATGAAGGCTTAGCAAAAGAACCAGGTGCAAAACACTGAAGAACTAGAAAACACTGCAGAGTTTTTATACTCTAAACAGCTGTATGAGGGATTTCAGCCTGGTACCAACGGATGTGTCGCTCAAGTTGCTGAGGGTGTGCTGTGGCAACATGTCGAGGTCGGCTGGAGAGCGCAGTTGTGGTGTGGTGGTCGACGAAAAATCTGCACAGGGCCGAATGCTGCTGCATACCCCCCCCCCCCCATTCATTCCTACTATTATTACGGTAAAACCTAGTCTAAGCGACTTCAGTCCCCACTGTGCAACCGAAAGCAGTCGGACCAGGTGCCAGGTACTAGGTGGTCTTTAGAAGAAGGTCCAATACATTCGTGGCATGCGGGATTGTGAACACACTCCCACTGATGCACTCGTATTGACAAGCGTTGTGCAGAGAATACTTTCATTTTTATTTTTTACTAAAAGCCATGTGATGCACGCAATGAGAACATGCAGCAGCCATGGTGGTGGGGGCCAGGCGCTCCGTCGACCAATCATGTAGACGACGCATCCATGCGTTTTCACACCTCACTTGAGTGCATGCAGCGAACCCTGCACTGTCACTTGTCAGCTCTGTTGACTGCATGCACCCGCTTCTGAGCGCATTTCAGCCCTGTTGCACTTGCAGTCAAGCCTAGAGCCAGTAGAGGTAGAAACCAGGGCAGCACTTGTCATTATGTACATGATGTACATACTTCAACGAAGGAAATGCATGAGACGTACTGCCTGAGCATGCATTCATGCAGCACCTGCTGTTGTGCACCATTCGAAACAACAAAACAAATGGTGTTATTCTTCTGGCGAAATGACAGCTTCAAGCAGCCCCCCCCCCCCCTCCCTCTCTCGGTGCTGCATCTTGTTGCATGTGCACCTCTATCCATGGCCATGGGGTTCGGGTGTCGTTACTCAGACAGTCGTTATATCCAAAGTTATTCAGTTAGACAGGACTTTGCTCTGGGCATGAAAATTCTGTCGTTACTCGTGAATTGCCTTTACTGCCACAGTTGTTACTGGCACAGTTGTTACTGGCGGAGTTGTTACTGGCACAGTTGTTACTGCCACAGTTGTTACTGCCACAGTTGTTACTGGCACAGTTGACTGTACAATGCACTCCGCTCCTGTACTTGTTTTGATTGCAGTGTCTCCAGAAGCTAACAGTTACTATAGAGTGAACGTTGCACGTGGATTCGGTGATGGGCAATTCAAGCCGGGACCGCATCGCAACCAACATATAATTCCAGGTAAGCACTAACAAGAGTACAGTCAGACCTCGCATAACCGCACACATCCGTTTTCGACAAAAATATCCGCATTTGGGGATTTCCCGGTTTCGCGGCAGTCGCATCGCGTGTCGCATCGCAAAAAAAGCTTCTGTGAATCCCGTTTTACTCAGCACTGTTACTCAGTGCGTGGCTCTTTCTTCGTTGTAGTATGGACTCGCAGGGTAAATCATAAAGCGGCTCATGACAAATACTGCTACAATCAATACCCCCAGAGTGGCTGTAGTGTCGTCACGGGTTTGCGAACCGCGAACGAACTGCCTCTAGGCTCCTCGCCACGCCACACAACAAAGGACTAGCACAAATTGTTAGAGTACTTTTTCTTCTACTTCGAGGAAGAACCAACACTGACAACGAACGACTGACGACTGACACTGAGACAAGACAACAGAATATATTAGATTGAAGGTGTAAAAAGGGGGCAAGACGAGCAAGTGTGTATCAACGGGGACAGAAGACGGTGCAGCCGCATGTACGCAGGAGTCGAAAACAGCGCAGCAGCATGTACCACGACTCAGCAGCATGTACAACAAAGAGCTACACGTGCAACCGCATGTACTACGAAGAGACACAAGCGCAGCCACATGTACAACACTATCCCCCATCAAAAAAAGACATCCACTCCTGTGGATGGAAGCAATCAAAAACAAAATTAGAAGAAAGACAGGAGAAAAAGAAATCAAATGTGAACAACATACACAGGAGAATAGAAACAAAACATGCAGGGCCAAAACAGTAAGAGACGTAACTCCGGACAACGGGGAAAAGCCAAGGCACAAATGTGTGAAAAGAAAACAGACCGGGCCCACCCATAGAGGGAACCGCCATACTTTCAGGCGTGGGCCGCCAGGAAGTAACCACGTTGCCCTGGTACGAAGCCAAGGCAAACCGACGGCACTGCGAAGACCGCGGCAGCTGAACCGGGTGACCAGGCATCTGGAACCACAGGAGTTGTCCGGAAAACCATCACGCAGCAAACCATCACGCAGCCGATGGGGCTACGAAAGCTCACAGAGACAGAAAGACACACACAGAAAGAAACACGGACTGACGCAAACATCTCAGCCATCGCCAAAAATCAGAAAAGCACACGAAGGAAGGGAAGAACAGCCAGGAAGAACACGTCGACTGAAACAGGAGCAATTAATCAGTGAGGACACCATTGAGGACACACAAACAAATCGGTTACCAATACGCAAAAGATAATGAAGAAAAACCACAGGGCGCTACCCTGAAAAACCCACAGGTCTCTAACCTGAAAAAACCACAGGGATTGAACCTGAAAAAACCACAGGGATTGAACCTGAAAAAACCACAGGGATTGAACCTGAAAAACACGGAACTACATCCGCTTCGCAAAACCAAAAAACCGAGACAAAAACTGTCAGGGACCGACTGGGGCACGCAAGGGCCAACCAGCAACACGCGGAAACCATAACACCCGCAAGGTAAACCGATACAACAAAACACAGGATCCCTGCAGACCACCAGGCAGACCGTGGCTCACCATGATCAGACGCCCACCCAAACGAACTAGAGAGACCCACATGCCGAAACACAATTATTACAAAACCATACGCTCACAAAAAAATTCAACCTGGATCCGAAACGAGAATCCTACATGAAGTTCACACCTCCCACCAAACCGGAAGCCACCAGCTTTCCGACTGGGTGCACAGTGCATGACCGAGCCTGACAACGCTCTGCACGGAACATGGAGAAACTACTACTACTAGCACTAGTGAAACGGTAGAAACACGAAACAAAATATGGATCGACTACAAACGAGGCAGCACCTCGAGAACGTTCAGGTGGACATCCAAACAAATCACGCGACACAGTCACAATATCGGAGCAGTCCGACGGCAACTCCGTGACAAGCACAAGTGCACAACACAAGACGAGATCAAAGCTACCCATGCTGAATGCACGACGAGCAAGCAAAAACAAGTTCCAGATTCGAACGCGTAGCACACGAACAGAAGTTTGAAATTTTCATACACACAACCGTACAGTACAGGGTAGTCAGAGCGACACAGGAACAACGAACACAACGGGGCGAACTTACAACGGGCAGCTAGACTACACTACGCACTCGAGCACAAGAGAACAAGGTTCCACGGACTGCCTGCCGGGACCAGAGTCACCCAACGCAAAACAATTTGAAAAAATTCGAAATCGAATACAAGTTACGGCAACACATTACGCAGAGTAGACAATTACAAAGGCATTCTCACCTGAGTAGGCGCTCTCATGAGAGGCTTGGACGTTCGTGAGACTCAAGTAGCTGGGCCATGGCGAGAACACGAAGAGGAGACGAAAACACAGCTGATATGAAGACGAACTCAGGGTCGTGGATACGATTTGTTGGGCGCCAAATGTCGTCACGGGTTTGCGAACCGTGCACGAACTGCCTCCACGCTCCTCGCCTTGCCACCCACAGGGATTGAACCTGAAAAAACCCGGAACTTATAGTACGGCTAGCTCAGTCGGTAGAGCATGAGACTCTTAATCTCAGGGTCGTGGGTTCGAGCCCCACGTTGGGCGCCAAATGTCGTCACGGGTTTGCGAACCGCGAACGAACTGCCTCTAGGCTCCTCGCCACGCCACACAACAAAGGACTAGCACAAATTGTTAGAGTACTTTTTCTTCTACTTCGAGGAAGAACCAACACTGACAACGAACGACTGACGACTGACACTGAGACAAGACAACAGAATATATTAGATTGAAGGTGTAAAAAGGGGGCAAGACGAGCAAGTGTGTATCAACGGGGACAGAAGACGGTGCAGCCGCATGTACGCAGGAGTCGAAAACAGCGCAGCAGCATGTACCACGACTCAGCAGCATGTACAACAAAGAGCTACACGTGCAACCGCATGTACTACGAAGAGACACAAGCGCAGCCACATGTACAACAGTAGCGTGGCCGACGCCGACCGTGCAGTTGTAGTATGGTGCAGCCGGTATCCATGACAACCAGGCTGGCCGTCATGTACTGAGAATACTGAGAATAGGTAAACAGGGGCGTCGGAAGGGATTTCAGGGTGGTACGGTCAGCCACCTGAAGCACGATTTACTCGTGGAGTTGGGGTGCCTCCTCAGAAAAGTTTCGAAATTTAGACCTCAGATAAGTTTTGTTTTTTCACGGCTGAGCGTAGCGAAAGAGTGCAAAAAACGTATTTTTCACTCACAAATATTTTCGTGCATTTGCTCTTGTTCTGCGCAACTCCGTTGAACCTGCCATCGTGGTCTTTGTTTTTCCTCGTGGTAGTTGAAGTTGCCCGCCCACCCACCCTGGTTTCATGGGAGTCGTCCGCTGTTCTTCTTGACAATCTATGCCTATGTGTGTGGCTTATGATTATGACATACACCGGTTATTACATACCATTTCTTGCTATCTCTATTCTTGGGTCTGACTGGCAGCGGGGCAGGAATTAATGAAAATAGAAAGGTTTTTTGGCCGAAAGGCGTGTTTTTCCTCTAGCCCGGTTGAGCGGTCGCGGCTAGGAATGTAGGGAGTCATTGTTTTTCAGGCGCTCCCCTGCTGCCCAGTCACCCATGCTCACCACTGGCCATGCTGTTTCACTTGATTTCACGGCCTTTTCTCCCGCTTGCTGGCGGTTCTTTGATGGATTTAGATGTTTTTCGGCTATTTATCTATTCTGTGGCTGCGAGTGTGGTTTTTTGCTTCTACTCATTTCTGGAAAACCACCACGGTGGTGAGTGTGATTGCTCTGGTAGACCACTACCCCGTGAGTGTGATTGCTCTGGTAGACCACTACCCCATGTACTGAACAGTCGCTTTGTGAGTGAAAAGTGCTTTTTATTGATTCACAGGGTACCAAAGAGTGGTACGGTCAATACCGTAGTGACGGTAGCGTGTCCGACGCCCCAGGTAAAGTCGTGTGTAAAATTCGTGGCTTATATGCCTTTATGGGGGAAATTCTGTAGGCTTCTATGAGACAGGCTTTTATACAAGATAGGTATTTCTATGTATGTCAACACTAAAAGCAGGCTTATGTGCCGACAGTGCATCTCGAAAAATCAGGCTTGTATTCAAAACAGGCTTCTATTCAAAACAGGCTTCTACATGAGACAGGTTTTTACCAAGACACTACTGTATGCGGTGAACCTGCACGGACCTGTTTGGCACAACTACGGTGTGTGTGTGTGTGTGTGTGTGTGTGTGTGTGTGTGTGTGTGTGTGTGTGTGTGTGTGTGCGTGTGAAAGACGGTTCTCAAGGCAACAGGACTTGCAACGCCATGCCAAATATTGTTGACTTTGCGATTTCTCTCTCTTCTCTTCTCTCTTCTTGTCGTTGTCTCCCGCTTCTGGGAGCGGCATGGCCCGATAGGGTAGCTGTACATAGTAGTAGTAGTAGTGTGTTTGTGTGCGTGTGCGTGTGTGTGTGTGCGTGCGTGAGAGAGAGAGAGAGAGAGAGAGAGAGATGAGAGGCAGAACGGTGGTACAGTGTGCTCGTACAGTTGAATGTCTTTTTTAGTCATCCGGCATCCGGCACGTAGGTTGCCCAACAGCGCACTGGCAGATCATACGTACACTGTACACTGTACACTGTGCACAGTGTACAGTGTACAGTGTACAGTGTACAGTGTACAGTGTACAGTGTACAGTGCACAGTGTACAGTGTACACTGTGCACTGTACACTGTACAGTGTACACTGTGCACTGTACACAGTGTACAGTGTACAGTGTACAGTGCACAGTGTACACTGTACAGTGTACACTGTGCACTGTACACTGTACACTGTGTACTGTACACTGTGCACTGTACACTGTACACTGTGTACTGTACACTGTACACTGCACACTGTACACTGTGCAGTACATAGAAGTGTATGTTACAGTCATACTTCAAGTAAACGTGGACAGTGAGCATCATGAGCATTGCCGTTATGTAACATTTCATACGAGACAGTCTTGACTCAATTCTCTGTACGTGGACTAGTACATGCATAGTTGTACACGGCGACTATATCAGGATGGTACCAGTACATGTAGTAGAGCGTTTTAAACTTAAAAGACAGGTAGAACCAGGCTGTATAGTCCGCTTGGTGTGCGAACACGAGATGGCTAAGTTATCCAGAATTCTCTCTCGTCCAACAGCGTCCGGTGCTGGGGGTGCGGATGACACGCAACTGTTTGTGAGAACGGACAAAACTACGGTACATGAACATGAACGCTGTACTTCTCTGGCTGTTTGAAAACTAGTGCTGACTTACAACCATACGTCTTCACTGCATTGTTCACCGCTCTACTGTGATAAGACGTGCCATATGCCTGCCTTCTTTGTGTTTCTGCCTTCCAGTGCAACCCGAGATCACAACGGTTCTGGTGAATCAAGACGTCGAATTTATTGTCCTGGCTACTGATGGTAAGTGACGAAGTGACGTCTTCTCTCCCAGCTGCCTACAATGTTACAGCCAATAATAGGTGCCCCCCCCCCCCCACCCCCTAAAAAGTTTGACCTAGATTCAGCATGAACATAATGGCCAGGAATGACAAGCATGAGCCATCCTACACATACTCGGTGTGCGGCCGTGCACCCCCCCCCTCCCCCTAAAAGGGGGACCACCCCCCCCCCCTCCTAAAAGGGGGACCAGCTACACCCCTGAATCATTGTGCACTGGGACATACTGCCATCCTACACATACTCTGTGTGCGGCCGTGCACCCCCCCCCCCTCCTAAAAGGGGGACCAACTACGCCCCTGAATCATTGTGCACTGGGACATACTGTATCACTGTTCGTTCGTAACACAGCCATTCAGCTCCTAAGTAAGATAAAGAAAGTAAAGTGCTGACCGATTGGACTCTGCACCTCTCTAATGTTCAGAATGACGCGGCATAAACGGAAAAGGCATGAAAAAGTAAAGGCAGCATAGAGTAGGCGAAGGAAGGCGTTTTTGAAATCTATATCCATGCGTATGTTTGCAACAGGATTGTGGGATGTAATGTCCAGCGAGCAGGTCATAAGCTCTATTCGCGAATCGCTGAAGGGTCCGCGCTCCCCCGCGCATATACGAAGGGTAAGTGGCCTATGCCATGCTGACTTTGCTCTATGAATGTGCCAACATATTCTCACCTGCGTATTTATCGCTTACCAGTGCATTCTGCTTTTTGAATAATGTGCTACTTTCTGAGCGTTTCGGAGACAGCAACTTTAAAATGTCGCAACCAAGAGGACAAACTGTGCGGTATCCATTTTTTTGCGCCGCTTTATGTTCCATATAAGATTGCTTGCTAGCATTCTACCCATTGCTCCGTACGGTTACTGATGATCGTAACGAGAAAACTGTTCTGAACATTTTCTTCCTTTCACGTGTACATTTCATACCTCTCTCATAATACATAATGGTTACCGCACAGTTTGTCCTCTTGGTTGCGATGTTTATTATCCATCAGCACTCGGCCGAAGGCCGGAGATAGGCACCCACCAGGCTAGCATCCAGCAGCCAAAGGTGGGGCCATGCATCATAATTATGGATATTGAATATGATGGTAGGTAAACAACAGAGAGAAACACACAACCCTTTTTTAAATATCGATCATAGGAAACACGAGAGGGTTTGGAGGGAAATAGGACCGAAAGAACTCCACTACCCACCCCAGAGCATTACAAATCAAGGACCTTACGCAGGATAGCTGCCGAGCCAAGGTGAGCATTCTTTTGAAATTCAGACACAGAGCAGTAGCTGGTGATACCGACAGACGCAGCCGTGAGTCAGTCAAGTGTCAAGTCAGTCAAGTGTCAAGTCAGTCAAGTGTCAAGTCAGTCAAGTGTCAAGCCAGTCGGCAGGATGCGTGAGCTCCGACGTTCGGAGCAGACACTTTCACTAATCCCCGCCGATTCGCAACATCTTTCGTATGATTATTATTACAAGCATTATTATTTATTTATTTACTAGGGTGTTTCCCACAGACCTTCCTACGGGCTTCTTACTTGTATCCGTGTGTTTTGTCCGCACACCACCCCACGTGTATATCCGTGTGTTTTGTCACACCACGACACCACGTGTGTTTTGTCACACCACCACCCCACGTGTGTTTTGTCACACCACCACCCCACGTGTGTTTTGTCACACCACCACCCCACTTATTACCGTTTGGTATTCCCTTCAGTAACGAGCTTCCATTGAGAATTGTGACAAGAACATGTTCCGGAAGGACCGGAACACATTATCCGTTATGATTGTGATATAAGGGTGCATCTAGGTTTATTCATTGCTTTATAGCTATGCTTTAAGGGGTCGTCGCAAAAGTTTTCTGTCGTCCCTGAAACGAACATCGTTCATTTCGTACTCGGACCCCCTCCCCTCTCTCTGAAACGAACACAGCTTGCTATGCTGGACGACGAAAATCGCACGCATGGGCATGTCATATGTACAGTGTCGGTCGACTTGCGATTTTGGCTCGCACCCCCTCCCCCCCCCCCCCAAATGAATCATGTTCGTTTCAGGGACGACAAAAAACTTTTGCGACGACCCCTTAGTGCATGGTGTTGTACTTCAGTACTTAGGTTATCCCGTGACATTGCTGTGCAGTACAGTGTCCGTTAGAACATACGCCACTCGTGTCAATATCTGAATCAGTGTGTGTGTGTGTGTGTGTGTGTGTGTATACGTGTGCGCGCGCATGTGTGTGTGTGTGTGTGTGTGTGTGCGCGTGTCTGTGTGTCTGTGTGTACCACTGCTGGTGTGGTCTGGATATTAGTGAACTTACTAGTACGCCCAGCCACTATCAGATTCAGCGGCATGATTGCAAGTCTGTGCAATATGTTGTATGCGTACAGCACATGCACACACACAGCGTGTGGAGCTTGTGTGCAGACTTTATGTGACTTGATGCAAAGTGTGTCACCAAGGACTCACACAGAGAGCAACCGAGTCATCTTGGTGATATAATTCAAGATGACTCGGTTGCTCTCTGTTTGAGTCCTTGGTGACATGGTGCCGAAACCCGGTTCACACATAAAAGCCAATTGGAAAAGCTAATTGGAATTACACTTGTTTGCTTTCCTCCTCAAAACCCACAGAGTATAATTCGATTGGCACAATCGGCAATTCATGACCATAACACGAAAGACAATGTCAGTATTGTAGTCGCGTTCAACATAAAAGGACGGAGCCTGGCGGCATTAGCTCAGCGGATGTGGCCGGAATGATTCTACGGCTTTGTTGCAAACCAGGGTAAACCTAGAAGGAATTTGCCAAGAGGTCTAGGCCTGGGAGAGAGATTTTCTTGAAGTAAAATATTTTAATAAACTCGCCGGTTTTCAACGCCTGACTCGGCGGCGGCCTTGCCCCTACACCCTTCTCAGTGACGTATTGTTTTGTGTGCTCGTCGTCCTGGTTCACCACGTCCAGAAGTATATGCCGCCGCGTTGGGTCGGGGTGAGGGGCGATGGGGGAGGTACACTGCAGTTTGTACCGGCGTTGCGCTTACACCCTTCTGCATATTGTTTTGTGTGCTCGTCGGGCCTGGTTAAGCACGTCCAGAAGTACCGTAAAGTACCGTTGATCCGCCCCCTCTCTAATTCCCGCCCCCTGTCGATTTTCTCCTTGTGAAGCGACTTCGGCGTATACAACGAAATACGATGTTGAACCGACGCATACACTGCTGTACACAATACTTGCCAATCCAGGATCAAAATGTGCACAATCCAGCACATTGAGTCTGATCCTCTACGTTGTTGTACATCGTACTGCACTTGACAGCCTTGATCTAATTCCCGCCCCCTGCCGAAAACCCAGCTGGGAAGCGACATGGCGTGGGGGCGGATCAACGGTACTTTACGGTATATGCGACTGCGTTCTCCTGGGGTGAGGGGTGATGGGGGAGGTGCACTCCGGCTCGTACCCGTATAGAGGCTTTAAAACCTATAAAATACTGCCGGGGTTGTAGTTACAATGGCTGGAGCAGTGTTTCTATGACGACCCGTAACCATGGTAAGTCAGTCACTTTTTGTCAGCTTTCGCATGCCGCCATTATGTCCGTAATGCTGGACCTTGATCAACTTATCCCATGCATAATGACTGTACTATAGTCTGCGATTTTTACATGTACCAGTACTTGTACAGTGTAAGAAGGGAGTTGAAAAAAATGTACGACTCCCTGATTGTCACTGAATGTCAGGGGCCGTTTACATGAGAAAAATAAGCCCGGGCTTATTCAACCCTAGGCTTACGATAAGCCCGCCTTGATCTGTCATCCAGTCATTTTAGAGTGCACATTTACTCACCTGAACTCAGCCCTGTACAACCATCATATAAACGGTTGAAAAATAAGCCCGAGGCGAATAAGCCCGGGCTTATTTTTCTCATGTAAACGGCCCCTCAGTCTAGTAGCAACCTGCTTCCTCTGTGCGTGCTCTTTCCGAAGTTTCCGTACAGACTGCAAGCAGGGAGTACTACAGTACTTGCCGACTGCTAGTACGGCACTTCATGTCTATCCCTCAGGCCCGCGTAGGAGCCGGCTCGGCCGGACCAGAATAGTGCCCAGAATGCAGGATTTCGCACCCTAATTTCAAAATGCTCCCTGGGGAGGCCCCCCCACCCCCTGCGGCCGGACCGCCTCTAACGGCGGTGCTACGTGCCTGTCCCTTCGGGAACTTGCGATTCCGCGGCCACGTTGCTTTCCACGATTTCAACAAAAGTCCGCGATATTTGAAAAATCATCCGTGTTATTGTAGAAAACTGTCCTTGATACTTGAAAAGCACCCGCGATATTCGAGTCTTTCGTCGATGTTGTTTAGTTCTTCAAGCTCGTCAGTAGCTTACTTGTGAGATCGACACCGGAATGGAGAAGTTTCTGGGCAAACCAGCAGCTGATAAGTCGAAAAATAAGGCTCAGCTTATTTAAAACACATGTTCTGTTTTGTCATGCATGATTTATGCTGTACAACTCATACTATGTGTACCAAAATTGGTCGCAATTCACGCAGTTGTACCACAATATTCGCGCAATTTTTGACACAGTCCGCAATATTCCGCGCAATTCATGGTATTTTACCTCTCAACTTTTTCCACGATATTAATTTTCCGAAATTTCTTCGCAAGTTTCTGGAGGGACAGACATGTGCTGCACGCCAGCCAATATTGTGGCAATACCTTATTGGAAAGTGCGACAAGTGCCCGCCGCCCAGCACAGTCCCAGTACGTATTCTGGCGTGCGGCATGCGGTGGTGGCATCCGTAGGACCGTACCCAGCACGGGGCCCGTGACGACGTCCACACCCATGCTTGATCAGTACTGGTACTAGGAGAGCGGGTATGCCCAGGGTCTCACCACGTGTACAAGATCGCCTACAGGCTACAAACTGTTATAGAGGCTATGCGAGTGAGTTGATGGGGCGAGTCAGAGGATTTTCTAATGGACGCCAAGTATACACCAAGAGTCAGCGGATTTTCTAATACTAGTAGGCGCTATGTTATTAGAGAAACCTTGTTTTTGTTTACATAATGTGTTGATAGTTTGACAGCAGCACGAAACAAGGTGGAGGACACCGTGTTCGGAAACAGTGACCTTTCTACAATATACAACCATCCCAGGCGCGTGCCCCGTATGGCTTCCTGGGTGCCCGAAACCCCCCTTTTTTGGCTCAAAATGCAGGATTTTGCTTCATTTTTTGAAATTTTTCCCGGGGAGGCCCCCCGGAACCGCTGCCCTTGAAGGGCACCAGCGCACGCGCCTGCATCCCCACGGTTGGTAGAGCCGCGGTTTGTTGAGGCCATCTGAACCGCATGTGTCCTGGACCCGGTTCCGACCCTCTTTAATCTGGGGTGTTTTTAAAATAACTATTATTTTTTATGACTATGAGGGAGACATCCAAGAGCGATTGCAGAGTGCACGGCTGACGTTAGGAGAAGTCTATAAAAGAAACCCTAAAACAAAGAGGGTCTCAAAAAGAGCGATTGCAGAGTGCACGGCTGACGTTAGGAGAAGTCTATAAAAGAAACCCTAAAACAAAGAGGGTCGGAACCGGATCCAGGATCCATACGGTTCAGATGGTCTCAAGAGACCGTGGCTCTACCAACGGTGTGGATGGTTGTAGAAAGGTCTCTGTTTCCAAACGCGGTGTCCTCCACCTTGTTTCATGCTGCTGTCAAACTATCATTAGTAGGCGCTATGACTATGTATACAGCTCGAGGCGCTAGTTCAAGCCCTAAACTTGGCTAAAGGTGCAGCGCTGTGCCCCGACTTCACCAACGCATCACCACTGATAGTGTACTAGTAGTACCAAGAGTCCATAACCCCCAAGTACATGTAGTTATGGACTCTTGGTAGTACACTACTAGTAATCGCATAACCTCTCACACCGCACGCACATCACCTACCATGCACTGCATGTACTGCATGTAGAGCTAGAGGCCACAGTACTAGGCATACATGTACATGGGTAGATCTACACGACGCGTACATGTGTAATACTGCCGTTGCCGTGGACACCGCCGTCGCACAGGTACGTGGATAACATGCGTACTTGACACTACCCTGCACTGCTGCCAGTAGTGTGTAGATGCATGCTGCTCGGCCTGGCTGGCCTGCTGCTGGACATAGTGACTCACCAGTGTGCAGACGCATGCCGTCGTTCACCCTGGACTGCTCCGGCTGGACCTAGAGTCTGGGCTTAATCAGCAAACCTGGCCTGCTCCGGCTGGACATACAGTCCGCGCCTAATCAGCAAACCTGACCCTGATTTCAGAAAGCCGCCCTCGGCCCGTATGTGTGCCGCTAGCCCTGGTCACCACCGGCCTGACATCGCACCTCTACCGGAGGCGACATGCGCACAGTGACACTATACTCACACTCACACACGCACACACACGCACGCACGTGCACACACACACACACACACACACACACACACACACACACACACATACACACACAAGTAGATCTAGAAGCAAAGAACGGAAGAAGCAACACAAGCCCTGGTCTTCGGCCAATATACACACATGCCATTCAAGTGTTTCTGAAGGGTAGTGTATCACAAAAAGACTGAAAGAGATGGAGAAAAGTCCAATGTCACGTATTCAATGCCATGCTATTACACACACACACACACACACACACACACACACACACACACACACACACACACACACACACACACACACACACACACACACACGGAATAAAGATAATACACCTCAAATTCAAAAATGTTTGCACGCATAAAACAAGATAATAGTGTCATACCTTTGAAAAACATTGCCCACGTGCAACATACTTGTATACACACACACACACACACACACACACACACACACACACACGCACGCACGCACGCACACACACGCACGCACACAGAAATGTGCACTCAATGCAAAAAACATCATACAAACTGGGGAGAGGAAAAGGCGCAGCATGCATACAGTACATCACTGGAGATACTGCATCGCTACAGTACACATTGCTAACGCTTCACGCGGCCATCATGGCTTACAGCTCTACTCGAGCTGGCAGCTAAAACCCTATGGTGATCGCCTGTACATCATCGGCATCCACCGCAAGATGCCACTTCTCCTAAATCAATAAATAAAGTAATGAATAGAAAAGCATTGCAGCGGAAAAGGTAGATTACCCTTCCAGAACACACTCATCGTCACTCTCATCTCTTTGGTTAAGGCGCCTGAAGCCAAACATGCTGCTGTCCTGGCCAGACTGAGACTTGAGACGACGGCGAAGCGCCAAGACGACCAAGCCCACCAATCCGCATACGGCCAATGTGCACAGTACGCCAATGAGAACGCCCGTCCATGCAGCCATACCTGGAACGACACGGCAAGCAGACGCAACGAAAACACAACAGGGTGGTGCTCCTGTTCTGCAATTCTAAAGGGCACTGCTGTCATCGCCATTATCGTCATTACATACACGCCAAGCTCCCGTCCACCACCACCCCCCACCCCCTCCCATCACATGCACGCACATACTTATTTAAGGGCGTGAACAAGATCTACGCATCATGATCACCATGACCATTCAAGTATGCTCCACTGTCCTACACTACATTACACCCCACTACACTACATTACACTACACTACAGTACAGTAAGATCGGGCGCCGAAGAACGCAGGGGCTCGAGCGCAGCCTAGGAAAGTTCTTTAAAGAGAGCATGTCTGAGAAAACCAGAACATATGTGCAAGTCGATCTCTCAGATTTCGCTCAAATTTTGCAGGTAGGTTTGCTTTGGGGTGTAGATCGACATTCCAAAGCCCGCGCTAAATCTTTTGAAGGGAACCATGAAATTGGCATACACCTCAATATTGGCCCAATATTGGCACGATTTATGGGTCTACAAACGAGCCACGGCACAGCGTGCAAGAACAAGCTACGAACAAAACTCCATCAAGCCAACATTACCTCACCTTAGAAGAGTTCTTGGGGCAGCAGCACTTAGCCACGCCAGCATCCCAGAAGACGAGGGCAATCATCCGTTGACGCCACAAATGATCGTCTTGAAAATAGCCAAATTACAAGCGCTGATAAAACAGCGAGCTACGTCCTCAATTAGCAAACACTATACACCGGCAGATAGTAGAACACCTCTTCTAGCACTGAGGACATGTCCCCCATCATCCTTTTGGGGCTTTCTTGAAATAAACAATTTTGAATTTTTCCACTCGACCATTCTGAAATACGTCCAAACTCATACCTGCGCAAGAAAGCTCGCCCCTCCGCGACGTCTAGTCAGCAATTTCTACTCCAACACCACTCCCAACGCTGCAGAACAAAGTGTATTGTTGACTTTGACAAGGAAAAGCAGCGGTGATCACTTGTCACACCAAACGACAAGCTTCTCCTTGCGCCCCAACATTTTTCGTTGCAACAGTTGATGCAAAAGTGACTGAATTTTTGCGTGTAGTTTCTGGATTTTACTGCAAGAGGAATGATGAAATCACGTGCCTCGTGACACAAGAATGCCAGGTCTCGTAGATCACGGTTCAGCAGTTGTTCCGAGTCACCTTGATCAAGCGCTCCTGCACTTACATGGATCACCCGTTGATCTGGATCGGATCAAGTGCATCTTGATGTCCAGCTCAAGAGCACGCATGTCGTGTTGCAGGCCTTCCAGCTGGGACTTTCCCTCAACAAGCAGCAGCGAGTAGGGTCAAATCACGTTGTTCATGACGTAAGAAATCTGCCATGTGGGCGCGCCACATACTTCATGCTACCAGTGTTGGCCGCGCGCTGGTCAACTCCAAGCGACCTTGATGGCATGGACCACGCTCATTCCTTGCTGTTGCAGATCTACGTGGATCATCAGCATGTAAACCAGCCGTAGTTCCTGTTGAACCATGTTCGGGATGAGCGAGGTTAGTGTGAAAAAATGCATCCCTGTTCTTACTGCAAGAGGAAATATCTCAAAGAATTCTTGCCAATGCAATACTGCTAGCATTATAACGATAGTTTCTGCATGTTCTGAGCAGAGCATGCAAGAAATATAATGCATCTTACCTCCTCCCTCATGGTCCGTTTCGAATAGCGCCTCAGGAACCGATCGTGATCGTGTGCATTGTGTCGTGCACCAGAAAGCATTATTCTACGTCACGATCCACGTAATTTCTTCATTCCTCTTGCAGTAAAATCCAAAAACTACACCCAAAAATTCAGTCACTTTTGCATCAACTGTTGCAACGAAAAATGTTGGTGGCGCAAGGAGAAGCTTGTCGTTTGGAGTGACAAGTGATCACCGCTGCTTTTCCTTGTCAGAGTCAACAATACACTTTGTTCTGCAGCGTTGGGAGTGGTGTTGGAGTAGAAATTGCTGACTAGACGTCGCGGAGGGGCGAGCTTTCCTGCGCAGGTATGAGTTTGGACGTATTTCAGAATGGTCGAGTGGAAAAATTCAAAATTGTTTATTTCAAGAAAACCCCAAAAGGATGATGGGGGACATGTCCTCAGTGCTAGAAGAGGTGTTCTACTATCTGCCGGTGTATAGTGTTTGCTAATTGAGGACGTAGCTCGCTGTTTTATCAGCGCTTGTAATTTGGCTATTTTCAAGACGATCATTTGTGGCGTCAAGGGATGATTGCCCTCGTCTTCTGAGATGCTGGCGTGGCTAAGTAGTGCTGCCCCAAGAACTCTTCTAAGGTGAGGTAATGATGGCTTGATGGAGTTTTGTTCGTAGCTTGTTCTTGCACGCTGTGCCGTGGCTCGTTTGTTGACCCATAAATCGTGCCAATATTGGGCCAATATTGAGGGGTATACCAATTTCATGGTTCCCTTCAAAAGATTTTGTGCGGGCTTTGGAATGTCGATCTACACCCCAAAGCAAACCTACCTGCAAAATTTGAGCGAAATCTGAGAGATCGACTTGCACATATGTTCTGGTTTTCTCAGACATGCTCTCTTTAAAAATTTTTGATTCTAGCCAGACCGTTCTTATTCACACGCGCGCGGCGAGTCGAGTGACGTCATGACGTTTGTCATGTACATGCACATGTGCATGTACATGTAGTGCAATGTAGTACTTCTAAACTAGTGGGTGTCGTAAATGGGAATGACTGTACATGTAGCAGTTACTGTTTACACGTGTACATGACATGTACTCACCTCCCATACATGTACAATGTAGATCTACGTACAATGTAGATCTAGTGTTCTTAAATCTGATAATTCTAGCCTGGACTGTTCTTAAATTTTGTCGGTTTTCCAGCCTGGGTGTTCTTCAGCGAGGTGTTCTTCGGCACCCGATCTTACTGTACACTACATTACACCACACTACACTACATTACACCACACTACACTACATTACACCCCACTACATTACACTACACTGCACTACATACCTTTCTTTGATTTGTGCGTATTCTTGTCCAGAATGGGTGAGGAGCTAGGACCGGATTCCACATTGCCTTGCGCTGGAAAGAGAGAAAGAAGGGGGGGGGGGGGGAAGAGATGGAGATGAGGATTCGACGCGAGCCACAATTACAATTGCAGCGTATGTTGATGATAATTTGTATTTGATCACAGATTCATCTTGAGCACCCAACACGGCCACTAACACACACCATGCTTGGCGGTGCAAAAGTGGCAACGGAGATCAAGCCATAAAGAGTGAGTGATTCAGAGAGTTCTTCTTGTAGAGCCGAGCAGCAGGGCAGGATAGGCCCTACTTTGATTTGTACCATACCATGTAGCCAAGGTCGCAGCAATTTATTCGGAGGTTGCGTTACGCGGCGCTTTCCCTCTTCACGCCCCTGAAGTCGTGACTTGATTGGTCGCTTCCATGCAACAGAAAGAGTGTGTGTGTGTGTGTGTGTGTGTACCCTCCAAGTGGTTGAGCAACACAAGATCCTTCCACTCTGTCTGCTAACAGCACTGGTCATGGACACACTGTCTGATACATGTAACCATGGTAACTACTTAGGATTTAAAAGGCACTTGATTCGATTATACATTTACGTACAGTCAACCTTATGAATTATTACTGGTGATACTCGAAGAAAAATGAGAAAGCGTGTAGTGACGTGATCTGCGGCCCCACCAGCCAAACAACATTTGTATTGACTATCCTATTGACAAAGTGCGCCACTTCATGACCATTTCGGCTGGTATTCGGATGGCCAAACATTTTGTAGATAAAGAAGTGCGAAATGCATTGGTGGCAATACGAAAGTGAACATATTATGTTCACGGACCCTCTCGCTCCACATGCCGTGAAGTACAGTGCCATGGACTGTTCTATAAATGGGCTGAAATTACCCAAATATTATTAGGGCCCTAAACAAAGAAAAAAATGATATCATTTTCTTCATTATACGGAAATAATCATTTGCGTTCAGGATTCGTGTTTTCGAATAACAACAAACCTGTTGAGCTGGCCTCTGCTCCAGTTGGTTGATCAGATGGGTGACCAGACGATGGAGAGGCAGCTGTAGCTAGACATTCACAGTGGACAACACACAGTACACGCAACGTCTGTCTCTCTCTCTCTCTCTCTCTCTCTCTCTCTCTCTCTCTCTCTCTCTCTCTCTCTCTCTCTCTCTCTCTCTCTCTCTGTCTCTGTCTCTGTCTCTCCACATTTCTGGGTAATGTAGTTCACATGCAGGAGGCCACCACACAAACACACCCATGGTTGGTAAGGGTGACTCAGACAAGAAATGGCCTTTGCAATGCGTTTAGGATGGCAGTTGATAATGTCAATCACATCACGCCCCCCCCCCCCCCTGGCATGCACAGGGTAGCAATAATTTAAAGGGGAAGTTAGGGCAAAAATCAAAATTTCACCAGTTGTAGTCTTCGGGGTGCTGAGTCGAATGGTCTTGGTCCGAGAAAGCCGAGACGCTCCCTTCCTACTTGAATCCCAATCGAACTTGCGCACTTCCACCGAAACTGGGTGACTGCGCCCTACTAGATGGGGATTTGTATGCAAAATGTCACTAAAAGCGCCATTTCGTTCTTATAAAAGCACGGGTGACCGCGATTGGCCCATATGTTGTACTCTTTTGGACGCTGAGTCGACTAGTTTTGGTCCGAAAAGGCTGCGATGCAGCGTTCCTCCTTTATTCCCAATCGAACATGGTTGAACAAGCGGTCACGTGCTCCTGGGTGCCCAAATCACCTGGTCACCACGCCAGCAGGCGACAACTTTCACACAAAGGTTCAACTCGAGTTCAACTCGAGTGACAGGACTGCACCCAAAAAAGGTCAAACAGGCTAGTAAGTTGTACCCTGCAGGCACGATGACCAGGTGACTGGTGTACGCAGGAGCACGTGACCGCTTGTTCAACCATGTTCGATCGGGAATAAAGGAGGAACGCTGCATCGCAGCCTTTTCGGACCAAAACCAATCGACTCAGCGTCCAAAAGACTACAACATATGGGCTAATCGCGGTCATCCATGCTTTTATAAGAACGAAATGGCGCTTTTAGTGACATTTTGCATACAAATCCCCGTCTAATAGGGCGCAGTCACCAAGTTTCGGTGGAAGTGCGCGAGTTCGATTGGAATTCAAGTAGGAAGGGAGCGTCTCAGCTTCCTCGGACCACGACCATTCGACTCAGCACCCCGAAGACTACAACTGGTGAAATTTTGATTTTTGCCTTAACTTCCCCTTTAACACGATACAGCACTCACACATGCACCCCCCCCCCCACGCACACACACACGCATGCACACACACACGCACACACACGCACACACACACGCACGCACACACACACGCACACACACACACACACACAGAAGACAGACTGCGGTGAAGCTGAGCGAGGGCAAGACTCAAGAGAACAACAGCTCACTGAACTCACTGACTCTGACCGGCATCTCGCAGATGAACTGGTAAAAGCCGTCACAAGCGAGAGCATCCCATTTTCCCTTGGATGACATAGCAGCACATTTGCTACCTTGGTGATAGTATCTACCATAGATGCCCACCGCTGGCATGTATTGACCAAAGTTCCTGTAGGACACTGGAGCACCCGACGCCCATCTCCAGGCTGCGTCCTCGCCACTCAGACCAATCCAGTAGTAAGACGTCACTTCAAAGCTGTGTAAGACAAAAACGAAGCATGGATGGCTTGGACGTGCGCTTCTACGTCACAGATCTACTGTTAATAAACGTACGCGTATGGCATGCAAACAGACGGCAGTGATTCACACACAGTGATTATGACCAGTGGGTAGCATTGGGAATAAGCACACATACACACACAGATACACATAAACATACACACGCACACATACACACACACATGCACACACACACACACACACACACACATACAAACACAAACACGTACACACACACGTACACACACACGTACACACACACGTACACACACACACACGCACACACACTACAGCAATAACTATGAGCTGTGGTATCCAGCGTAACTCAGACTTCACAGGTGGAACAGCAAAGAGAAGAGAAGTGAGCAACCAGACTGTTGATATGTGTCCAGGAGGAATTCCGGCCGAAGAAGTGCACAGCATAGCCAATACGACGGTGCACCTATCTGCCCATGAGAGCGTTGATAGCGTACTGATGCGTGCACTTTCCAGTTATAGTCTCTCTATTTCAAAACACTGCCTCACAAAACAGCAATACAGCGGTTATGCCAGTGGGAGTAGTGGACGTACGTTTTCAGTAACCATCGGTTCTCCTTGTACGTCTCGATAGTGACTAGATCACTCTCTTCAGGGGAAAGCCTGGAATAGCCAGCACATTTCAACGCAGCTTCGTTGAAGTCCAGTCGTTTCTTCACGAGCAGATAGCAGGAGTCGGTGCCACGTATCCAGTTCGACGGGCAGTTCTCAGCTGTGAAATGAAAGACAGGACATAACAGCGGCAGCAGCAGCAGCAGCAGCAGCAGCAGCAGCAGCAGGTGTTACAGTGGCTACAGCAACAGCCGAGCAGTATTCTCGTCACAGTCAGCGCCATGGTTGCGGTGGACTGGGCTTTTCAGAGGATCATGACGGCATCCAAATTCTTGATACATGCATTTATTCCGTCCCAAAGTCAGAGGAAGGAGTACAACCCAGCACAGATCACATTCCGCCCAAACATGTTTTTTAATTTCTCATCCCGCAAAAACCAGGAGCAGGATCAAAAGTCTCAAAACTGCAAAGAGGGTGCTGTATAAAAGCTTATCGATATTACCCTATTGTCTGGAGTATACGCTGCACTGGAGTATGCTGCAACCAGATTTTTTGTCACGAAATACAGATATCTACCCTGTATTAAGTGTGGCCTAAGCCACATCCCGCATTTCCCACAAGAATGGTTCTTTTCACTGCTGACAGCTTCGGTTTTCCTTTTCACCAACGGCGAACCATGGATTCATCAAGTCGAAATTTATGGTCAGCAGCTCGATTGCCTGCTTCTAGGGAAACGTCAATAAACCT